CTCCACAACTAGACTGAAGAACAAAACGACAGCAACTTGTCTGTTCCCCTTCCCCCAATTCCCCAGCGCTGTTCCCATCCCCTCAATTCCCCAAATAAAAATCTTAAAAAAAAAAATTTCAATGAAGAGCTAGTTCTTTTGAGATTAGAGTCATGTAGAAGGTTGCACATGCTTTTCTGTCACAAGCATAGGAGATAATGCAGGTGATGAAAGATTCTAAATATACAGAGTGCCAAGAAAATGAATATACATTTTAAAAAAGTAAAAAACTATATTAAAATTGTAATGCTCAATATATACCGATAACGAAAGATGAATACAAGTCACATTTGACTTCTGCAATTACAAGAGGTGCTCAAAGTGGTTACCATCAGTGTAATTTTAATACAGTTTTTTCCTTTCTTAAAATGTGTATACATTTTTTTGGCACTCTCTATATAGCTAAATTTATATATATATGCAGTTAAAAATGGTAGGTTTACAAACGAGGGCCTGCGGGCTGCATGAATTCTACATTTAAAAAAACCCATCAAAGAATATGTGTCAGAGACCAGAGGATGCAGAAAGCTTAAAATATTTACTCTCTGGCCCTTTATAGAAAATGCCTGCTGACCCTTGAACCATGTGGAAAGTACCAATAATAGAGCTCACTCATTTTTTACTTTCACCAAGAAGTAGTACATTGTCTTCTTTCCTCGGAGGTATTAATTTCCATTTGTAAAATCAGTCTTCACAGCCGTTCTAAAAAGGGAATGAGAAACCTCCGAGAGCTGAATCTGTAACAGAATTCTCTGCCCCCAGCCAGCTCTGTTGGAGCTACTCTTGAATCAGGGCTGCTGCCCTTGGCCCTTGTTTGTGCTGTCGTTCTCCCTCCCCAGCGTCATTACCAGCCACCCATTTGCCGCACACCTTCTTTGACCTTGGCCGTTTGGCCAAATGATGATTCCATTCTAATTGTTCTTACGAATCTGCTTTGCTACCTTGCCCTACTTGTCACTTGCTTTCACCCTCTAAGGCCCCTCTTCTGTGACCCTTTTTGCTATCTTCTCAACCAGAATCTCAGCTCTGTTGAGGCAGGTGACTTCCAAATCTCATATTCCTATCCCTACCTTTTCCTCACTTCTGTCCAGGCCCAGCTTTCTTGCTGGTTTCAAAGCAGGTCCAGTTCTCTCCCCTGCAACAGATGATAGCAAAGAGAGGACTTTTCTGGTGGCTTCCCTCACCAGACCAGCGGAAGCCTTTTTGTGAGCAGCCTAGCTGTCCTTTCTGGATGGTGCTCCTGCCCATGCTGTATCGTGTTTACTTAGTGTCCACATCACTTGGTGTAGTTTCCTTCCCATGGACCTTGGCCTAGGACTGCAGCAGCCTCCCATGCCCACCACGTTGACCAGGCCACGCCAGTAGTCCCTGATGCCCCTGGGATCCAGCACACATATCTAACCAGAGCTATTACAGAACTCAAACTTCTGGTACCTTCCTTTCTTCATCCCAGGCCAGCTTGCTGAATCCCTCCCTCTCCTCCTCTCCTACCTGTGAGCATCCCTCTATTCAACACACGTTTATCAAATGCTGACTCCACTCCAAGTACTCTACTAGGCTGTGGGCTCATGGATGACCAAGATGCAGCCTAGCTCTTGGTGTTTTTTGACAGGTGAAAGCTCTTATGCCCAGACATGAATATAGAGCTAAACAGTAAGTGGCGATTAACAAAGTTACTAACTATTATGAGAGTACCAAAGAGGAATTTTAGAGCTAAACACCGAAACAAGAAAAACTCAAAACTGCCTGATGAGAATATTACTAAATCTAACAAATTCACCACTTGACGAAGATTAGATCTTGTTTTTAAATATATGGTTTAAGGACCAAACTTCCAGTAATTTTTTCTGAGTAATTTATTCCTTTTCTGACTAATTTACTCCTACTCATTTACTGATATGTTATCTTGCATCCAGCCATGCCTGTAAACATGACAGTTCTGTAAATAAATGCAGTCTTTTGATTATAATGAGAAAGACAACATTTTTCTTTGTAAACACCCCTACTCCTCATTAGAAATTGAAATGAGTCCTCATTTTTCCCCTAAGTGCATGCAATGGTGGCTTATAACTGGTGGATGGTGAGCTGGTCAGGTTGACTCATAGCTTAAATTTTTAGAATAGGCTTTGAGAGGTTGTCACTCAATTGCAAGAGATGTCTTTCAAATAACTTTGTACCTGGGTATCTTTCATTTTCTTCTTCCTTCCTTTTCCTTTTCCCTTTCTCCCAAGCCCCCTTTTAAAACTTATATAATATCAAATGTAAATTGGGCAAACCTAGCCAAGACATGCTTGTCTTGAGGAAAGCACCCCCCAAGTACACTGACCTACAAGCAGGAACTACAGGGAGGTGGTGAGGTCCCCAGCCTGCCCCAGCGTGGCTCCCCTATGCGTACTACGCACTCGTTTATTCATTCGCGGCATATTGTCTGACACTCTTCTCTGCCCCAAACACCATGCTACGTTCTAGGGAAACAATACTGAGCCAAAAGGAAAACTGTTGCTGCCTTCATTTGGGGAAAGTAGTAGCATTAATTATAAGTTTACATTAATAAATGTGTGATAATAAATTAATATCCTAGCTATGATATAGAAAGAAGTAATATAATATTAGTATTTAACTCCCTAGCGGCTCTGTGATCTCTGGTCCCTGTGCGTGTCTGCTTTCGTGTCTGTCTATCTCTGTCTCTCTGTCCCTCTCTCTCTCTCCCTCCCTCTCCTCTTTGAGAAAATGGCTAACAACACTGAGTCCTGTGATGGCTATGGCGCTTTAAATAGATGTTATTACCTCCATTTTAAATACCAATACTGGAAGGCAACATCGTTTCTACTCACATTGTCACTGGGAGGGTGAATAAACGAATGCTTGCATTACGGGAGTTTGGGGGCAGAAATATGCCACAGGCCCTACTTTGAAACCGACAGATTAGTGGCTGCTAACCCACCTAAATCAGGGACTCCGGATGTACATTTCTTTTACAGCAGCGAGAGAAAAATCTCCTTCTTTTTTTGCAGAAGTCAGGACTGAATCTCAAAATTGGCAGCGTGTCCTCCCCGCTGCATGCCCACCCACATGGTTAACAAACGATGGATTTCCCAAGATAGCTGCCACACACTCAGTTTCTAATCTCCATATTTCTCCCCTGCCAGAATTTCTAAGTCTTTCTGAGTAATCCCAGTTACACTTTCTGAACTTTTGAGCAAACACCTTTGGGCCTCATCATCTGCTTTCCGCAAAGCCGCCGGGCACAGGCCGGGGGACAGAGGCCGGGGCGCAGCGCCCCCGCACCCGGCATCCCTGCGCAGGGGCTCTGACTCGCTGCGAGGCCGCTTGGCGTCAGCGCCCGCCCGTCTGCGACGCGCCAACGTGCCTCCCGGCCCCGTTTCCACCCGCTGCGGGCGGGCTGCGTGCGGAGCCGCGCTGTTTTTACCTTCCTGGCTGCAATCCTTTGTATTTATTTGCAGGAAGGAAATAAAGGATTATAAGAAGGAAATGCTTGGCCTTAGTTTTTCCTGGGAAGGATGGGGTTGGTATAGGAGCGGGTATGTGAGATCTGGTGTGGTGAAAAAGGCAGGCCGATTTCTCTGGCTGATTTCTTCCCCCCCCCCCCCCCCNCAGATCATCCTTTTCTCTGTCCCGAAAAGCCCAGCACTCTTTCTCCCCCCTGGCTAATCCCCGAGCGAGAGCTTCCCCCTCCCCCACCTCTGCGGGGGCCACCGTCACCTCTGATGCTGCCTGGGTTGCTGCATCACTCTGCTGATTTCCACCCGCCCTCCCTTTCCCTCCACATTAAGCATGCGCAATGCGTCCCGTGCCAGGCAACAGCATCAGCAGCAGCAGCAGCAGCATCAGGACCCGAAGCCGCGGGCTCGGGCGCGCTCTCGAAGGCGCGGAGCACGACCGCGCCGCGCGCTCCCGCGCCGCCTCGGCATCATCAGCCCCGGCAGCAGCCCCCGCAGTCGCTGGAGCGGCCGCGCCCGCCGCAGGGAGGGAGGAGCATCTGGGGAGGCTCCAAGTTGGCGGAGCGACTGGGACCCCCGGACTCTTCTGCGTGCGCCCTGGGAGGGCCCGAGACGCGAGCGGGGGAGGGGGCGCCTCCCGGTCCCCAGCCCCAAGCCCTGACCCCCTACCCGCGGAGGCACCATGCGCGCTGAGCCGGCGTGACCGGCTCCGCCCGCAGCCTCCCCGCAGCCTCGCTTGGCGCTCTCGCCGGCCACACCGAGCGGCGCCCGGGAGCTATGAGCCATGAAGCCGCCCGGCAGCAGCTCCCGGCGGCCGCCCGTGGCGGGCTGCAGCCTTCCGCGAGCTTCCAGCGGCCCCCGCGGCGGCCCCGCCGGCCCGGCGCCCGCCCGCGCCCTGGCCCGCGTGCCGCCCCGCCGCCTGCTTCTCGTCCTTCTCCTGCTGCCTTCACTCGCCGCCTCGTCCCGGCCCCGCGCCTGGGGGGCTGCTGCACCCAGCGGTGGGTATGGCCCCGGTGCCCTTCGCATTGCCTTGGTCGCGGGGCCCTGCAGAGGAAAGAGAAGGGCACCCGGGTCTGTGCGCTCCGGACAAGTCCCGGGCTCGGCCTTCCCGCGCCTCTCTGCCTACCGCTCCCCCTCTCTCGTGCCCAAACCCCCATTCGTTTCAGTTCACTTTTTGAAGCCCCTTTGTGTTGCATTCACTGAAACCCTTAACAATTACTGTCGGTTCCACTGGAAGGTATTTAGTGGATGCGGGGACCCTCGGCGCAACTTGGCTGAGGGGAACCCGGTTGATGGGAAATGCCGCGAGGGAGCAAGTTGCTTCTTGGGTGGTGGAGCCTGAATGAGAATGCGGAAGGATGGAATGATAGTGGTTATGTGTTGTTTCCTCAAATTGCCGACTGGGTTTATTCCCTGCTGTTAGAATTAAAATGAGGGAGAGAAACTTTGGGGATGTAAACCTTTGGTTTGTAATTTCTCAAAATGCTTGTCATTATAACGAGCAATTCAGATAATATAGTGTTCAGTACAATTGGAAATCAGTAAAAGCAGAAAACTGGCCTTGGTAGGAACATAAAAAGGAATTGGAAAGATGCCACTATCTGCATCTCTCTGTGGCAAAGGGTTTTTGCTCATCTCAAAGTTAGAAGAAAAGGCAATTTGTCCATTTTGTTAAATGAATCAGTTAACATGAATTCAGCACAAGTTATCTTAGGAGCATTCTCAGGTCTCAGACGGGGTACTCCTAGTCAGAGTCCCACTGAGGTTCTGTAGACTCAGAGAAGGGTGGAGGTGAGGGTCAGAACCCCTGAGCATCTTCATTCCCTTCAAGTCCATGCTGCTCTCCCCCCACCCCATACTTAGAAGTATCAATTTGAGACTGGTTAGAAATGTACATACAAAACATAAATATAAACACACAGTGCATTATTGTATAAGCCTTATTGGCTGTTAACTTATCCAGGCCATTTCAGTGTTGCAATAACTTGTTTTACTGTGTGTCCGTTTCTTATCTGCTTATAAATAGGAAACTTTGTTTTTGCCATTATTGGAAAAATGCATTTTGATACTTATGTATTTATAGGTATATATGTGCATGTTTGTGTATGTTTATGCCCCCTGCCCACTTCCCCCCAACCAGCTCCGCATTGGAATGAAACTGCAGAAAAAAAATTGGGAGTCCTGGCAGATGAAGACAACACATTGCAACAGAATAGCAGCAGTAATATCAGTTACAGCAATGCAATGCAGAAAGAAATCACACTGCCTTCAAGACTCATATATTACATCAACCAGGACTTGGAAAGCCCTTACCATGTTCTTGACACAAAGGCAAGACACCAGCAAAAACATAACAAGGTAGGCAGGGGGCCGGGTATGCAAAAGCAGCTGCTGTGAAGAGTTTTCCTTTGATTTGATTTTCTGCCAGAATCTGACTTCGCAAATTTTACTGTAGCATTTTATTAGGAAATGAATTAATATCATGATAGGGGAGAAACTGGAGGGAATTAGCCTGGGATCTCCTGGGATAGGACTGCTGTTTGTCTCTTCTCTGACTCTAAACTGGAATTGGAATTTTCTTAATGGCCTTTTAACTTTAACAGCTGAAATATGGTCCATGTATCTTTCAGGTGCATTGGACAATAGTTAAGTGACTATGTTTATGGTCCTGACTTGTATCTTTGAGGCTTTATATAAGGGTGCAGTATTCTCCCTCCCATAATGAAAACTGCTTTCAACCTGCACACAGAAGATTGCTATAAGAGGCTATCTGCATATAGATTCTCCACCGCTCTTTCATTTAGAAACTGAATGTTTAAATGTCAACAACTTTCTTTCTATAATTGATCAATAGGAAAAAACTGTTATATTTTCAGTAGATAAACAATTTGATGTTTTAAAAGATTGTGGTGAATATAAACAAACCATTTATACATTGTAGAGACCAGTTTTGGTCAGCATAATCCTTTAGACTTTATCTGCATTCATTGTAAGCAGTTGCCTTCCTTTCAGGTTGGTTCAGAAAGTGGAACTGATTTTTAAAAGGACATTCAACAGACGATGAAGGTGCTTAATATCCAAAGAGTTTAAGGGATCTTTTTTTTCCTGCTTACTATTCTTTATTTGAGTTAGTAATATTTTGGACCGCAAGCAGAGTTACGCAATGGGTTATCAGTGCCTTTGTTCTTTATCAGGAGCAGAAAATAGAGTCTGTGTGTCATATGTTTTACTTTGGACTCTCCCTGTTTAGTTGACAAGAGCAGTAAGTGTCTAGCATCCATAACTTTAGAAAAATACTTGTGGTTTACATCAGTGTTTTTATTAGTTTTCTAAAATATAGGTAAGTGGTAACAGTATTTATCCCCATGTTACAAATGGGACATTAGAAATTTAAAACTTTTTGGGGTTTTAAAAACTTTTGGGGTTTTAAAGAGATCGTAAAACAGCTAATATAAAATTTAAGAGGCCTGAATATTTAATTTTTAATATTTTTTACAAGTCACATTTCTGAGAAAATGCTTCCTTTGTACTGAATATTATTGGAGAAATTAATTTTGTTTCGCAGTATTGTGAAGTGGCCGCTACCCACCTTGGCTGAGATGAATGGATGTCTGTTCTCATAGCCCTTTTCCCATCTGCTCCTATGTAACTTAATGTGTTGACTCCTGAATCATGCCTACCATTTGTCTTGATGATAGTAGGAGTGGGTGGTGTCTCTCAGGAAGAAGAGTCCAAGACCCCTTTGATAAATGCATTGAGGCCCATTTTATGGCTTTCCAAATTAATCAGACCTTCTATGGTTAAGTAGCAAGTTCTCAAACTCCAGTGCCTTTGCATAAGCTGGTGGAGGAAGGGAAAGGAAAAAAAAAAACTGCCTGAAAGTCTGTTTCAAAGAATGTGCAAGCTCTACTGAGCTGAGACTTCAAAGACATTTCACTGGAATTTCTTTGTCACACAGGTGTTGAAGTTTATGAGTAACGCCTGTCTTATAATCTAGCCATATGTGGTGGTTTCACTGGTGGGACTTGGTTTGACTGCAATGTATATGAATTTTTATGATAATAGGTTTGTTAAAACTTCACCCATCACTCATGTAGAGGCATAGCGTTCTCACTATGGAACATAGTGAGAAACAATTTTGCAGGAACAATTCTACTTCTCCACTTTCATTCCCCACAGTGGTTGCGTTTCTTTTATTTTCAGAAAGTGTTTGCACAGAAATTAGATTTGGAAGCATTTTCCTTCTTTTCTTATTAGCTTAATTCAACAAACATTTGTTGCCCATTTCTCATGTGCAAAGTAGTATGCCAGAGATTCAGAGCTAAGAAATAAAGGGGACAAGGATGAATAAGACAGGAGACGCAAAAGCAAGTTGCACAACGTTCTAAATAGCGCTTCCATACAGGTATCAACAGTGTCCTTAAATGATGCGTTCCCTGAAATTTCCCTTTGTGTTTTGGGATATCCCTTTTACTTCTGTTTTTAGGCATCTCTTGAACTAGTTGACAAAAAGTGCTCCCTATGCTTCACGCTTGTATCTTAGGATGACTTGCCTAATAATAGTGATGAGACAGACTTGTCAGTTCAGCTGTTTTACAAATGTTTCAGTAAACAGCTGAACTGACAAGAGGGAAAGTATAGAATTTCGTCATTTTTGCTTCTGTAAGTTTCGATTTTAATATCTATGTAGTATGCACCTTTTTTTCCTCCTCTTGTTTCATTGCACTCAAGCACATTTTAATGAATGCCTGAGAAATGCTGAATCACTGTGCCGTTCTCCTGGATTCTCCTAGTTTGGGGGTAGAGGTGGAGAGGGAAATCCCCAGATATAGGTTGCAAGGCAGAGCTCCGTATTGATTTCATAACTATTCAGTTTTGATCAGGCCTTATTACTGTACAGCTGTGAAAGTTAAAATGTTTCTTCACTCTATTAAAATTGGTGAGTTTAAAAGCAGAGGGTACACAGTGCCTCTGTAATACTAGTGTTTCTGAAAACCTTAAAGTTTTCTTGGTCAAAGATTGTTTAGGAACCTTTTTATCTCCAGATAGGGTGATGTATGATATATTGTCCAAACTGCGCCTTGTCGAGAGTGAAATAATTATGCCAAGACAATAGGGCAGATGAGGAATATGGTCACCTCAGATCTAAACAGCTATGTTCCTTGATTTTTGGTGTTTACCCAAATTCAAGTTTCTTCATAGACAGTTTATTTTATTTTCTGATGATTTATTGTAAATTTTTTCTTACTAGCTAGGATGTCAGTTTACCACCATGAAGAAGTATTAGGGTCTGAAACGGAAAAAAAATTTAGTTTGGTTTTGTTACCAAGATGTGTCTTTTTTATTTTTAGAAAATTTCACAAGCATAAATGGAATTTTATGATTACTAAACATAAGCATTTTATTAATCATTAATGCAATATATTTATAAAATGGACCATACATTTAAAAAGAGAAAGAAACTATTTAGATTCATTTATTCACTTCATTCATTCATTCATTCATTCATTCATTCATTCATTCTGAGATTATCCTGTGAAGCCTGTTTCTAAGAAAGTTAATGAACCTGTGGGGGAGGAAAAATAATATCCCCTCTACCCTTCTAAGTTCTTGGCTAAGACACACTCTGTGTTAAAAGACAGATTAACGGGAGAAAAACAAACAAGTTTAGTAACGTGTACGTACCTCCTGTAGAAATGGGAGAGGCCCAGGCAAACTGAGTAGCTCTTAGAAATGGCCCAAGCCATCACCTTGAATAACATCTGCAGCTAAAGACCAAAGAAGGTGTTGGGGGTTTGGGAGTCCGCTCTGGGAGGCTATAGGGAAAGGCCCAATACACAAGGGTAAGGTTGTTATGCAGATTGAAATTGTTGCCTTCTCCATTGATAAAGAGTTTCTAGAGATTTAGAGTCATCCTCTTCTTCCTGATGTGGAGAGGGAGACACCCCAGCAAACAGAGATTTCTTACAAAGGTAAATGTCTCTTACAAAAGGGCAACTGCTACTTGGTTTTCAGAGCTTCTCCAGTGTCTGCTGTTTCTTAAAAATAACCAGCCTAAAATATCCTTATGCCAGAGGGGCATATTTTGGGGTGGTATATTCTGCTCCCATGCAGTCCTTTTCTTGAAACTTTCCTGTGGTGAAAAATTACTTGCCCTCTGTCCTACTCTCTTAGGATTCTTTTCTCTTCGAGGTGGGAAAGGATGGACGAGTACCCTGTGCATAGTACAGGGCCTGGGGAAGATGAAAGTCATCCCTTTGACTGCAGTCAGCCTGCACATACTCAGTCTCTTGTTCCCTCCCTACTGGTTTGGGGAGCTGGTGTACTAAGTTAAGAATATGCAGATTATGAGCTGCAGAATGAGGGGGGCACAAGCCGGCCACACGGGTCAGCAAGTAGTTTCTTCAGCATCAGACCTCCCGCTTTGGGGGAGTGAAATCCACAGTGTCATTTTGATCGAAGGTGCGGTTTTAGCACACCCAAACTAAGGAAGTAGTCACAAGATTTATTACTTACAGATCCCAGGAGCAGGAGGGTGCAGTGAGCTGGGGGAAGGGCAGTCCTTGTCCCAGGTCATGAGCCAGCAGGAGACAGAGAGCAGGGTAGCAAGCACTTCATGCTTAGGAGGTGGTTAGGCGGAGGCCACTAACTTTTCTCAGACTCAGTTCTAAGTGGCTATTTTATTTTTTTAAATTTATTTTATTTTATTTTATTTTATTTTATTTTATTGGGGAATTGGGGAAGGGGAGCAGACAAGTTGCTGTCGTTTTGTTCTTCAGAGTACTTGTGGAGGACGTTGCTTCACTGGCCCAAGTTGGCACCATCATTGCGCTCTTCCCGGGTGAGGCACATCAGTCGCTGGCTTCTGGACGGCCACTCACTGCGGCTGCTGGCTGCTCACGCTGGCTGCTGGCTACACACACGGTAGCCCATGGCAACCCACCTGCCGTCACCAGCGACTCACAGCAGCCCAGCTCCAGGTTGAACTGTTGTTCAGCATCTTAGCTGTAGAGGGCAGTGTCACTGGCCCTCATATGTGGGATCCGAACCGGGGCCCTCTGGCGTCCCAAACCAGTTCTTAATCATTGCGCCCTAAGTGGCTACTTTAAAAGGTGCAAAAGCAAAGCGGGAATTTTTAATGGGAATCCTAATCTCAAGTCCTTATCTAAATGCCTAGACCCCAGTTGTGAGCAGGGTTATCATACTGTAAAATGCCTAGATAGCAACTCAGAGAGATCAAAGTAGTTTTTCTTATTATCCCTACTCCCTGCCACCCCAAGTTGAAGAGAGCAAAGAGGGATGTTTGAGTGAATTTTGATCATGATCATTATTAGTACTTCCTACTGTGCTCAGGACAG